AAAGTAGAACAAACCCCATCGGAAACAAATGGTAAGCATTAACGGTAAAATGATTTACAAGCGATCTTAAGTCGAGAAAAATTAAGGGGAGTGGCGGTTTATCTCGACTTCCCAGAAAAAAGTCATTTGGCAATAATATACAATAGATAATGAAAGAAGCTATAACTTTTGTTTTAACAACTTTTCCACATAATCTCAAAATTTATAAGAAAACTCAAATAACCCAATAATATCCTGAACAGGGTATATTAAGTTTGCCACGAAGTTTGTAAAACCCAGAAAGAAGCGTCGGTGACAGTATAAAATGCATATATAAATTATCAGTATGTCGAGCTGGGTCGATTTAGCCATGTCCGTCTGTCCGCCTCGCTACCTGTATATATACGAACTAGTTCCTCATTTTTTAAGATATCATATATTCAAAACTGAAATTTTGCAAACGTCATTTTCTTTAAGGAACTGCTCAAACGTATCGATCGTACAAACTAAACGATCTGAATCTAGTGCTGGTATGGAAAGCTTTTGCATTTGACAAGATATATTCAAGAAATTTGGTGCAGATTATTTTCGAAGGCTGCAATGTAAACTCCGAAGAAATTGTTCAGATCGGTTAACAATTGTATATAGCTGCCATACAAACTGAACTAAAATAAATGCATGTAACTTTTTTTCTTGCACAAAAAAAAATTGTCTTCTATGTCTTAAACACACAGTATTTTTTATATTTAAAATATTTGTTTTTTCTCTTAAAAAATCACACAGACTCCGGTTTTCTGGCTTTTATGTGGTTGTAAACCCTATTAAAAATATTATATATTATGTCACTTAAAATATTTTAAACACTCTTATCTTCACAAAATTAGTTTATTTATTATTTTGCTATAATTTTATCAATAAAGCGTCCCACAAACTACACTCTCGCGCTTTAAGTGAACAAATCCCAGGCAAAAATTTGCTTAACACATTTTAGAAGTGCGCATAAGCCTGAGCTAATCTGCAAACTTACAATTGTGCGCGTATTTGCTGCGTTTAAACCTACAAACTGTTATTTCATTTTATTTATTTTTCAATTACAAAAGAATTACCCACTAAAAAATGCTCATAATAAATAAATAAATAGAAAACGAACTGAACGCCAATGCGCGCAATTGAATGAGAATTGCCCAACTAGTCGTCGTACTCGTTGCCGGTTTGTTGCAACGATAGCTAACGGCATTTGTTTGTGCAGCATTTCAAACCCGCACGCGTGTGGTACAAAACCTCAAACGTGCATTTTTAAAAAAAAGTATTCAAAAAAGTATATATTTATATTTATTTCTACGCATGTAGCGCTTAGAACATAGCAGGATGCGTTAAACAATGGATTGCTTTTGTTGTAGAGCATATACAAGTGCGTGCGCCTGTTTGTATGCAACAACTTAAACGTGCGCCATTCTGCACTCAATTGCAGGCACTCGTTCGCACTAGCGCGTGTTTTCTATATCATCGCTATTTACGGAGCACTCGAAGAAACATTAATTTACCGCATGTTGCAGTTGCAAGTACAACTGACAGATATTTTATTTTGTTTTCCAATAAATTTTGTTCATTTCAAGTTTTCTTTGAACGCTTTATGTTGCATTTGTTATTTTCGATAGCACTTTTACCAATTCTTATCATATTTAGTTAATAATTTATATGAGGAATACAATTCGAACTTTAAATTTTTAAATTCGCAACGAAAACTCGTGAGAAATTTAGTTATTGGCTGAACTTATGAAAGTCAGAAAAAGGTGCAGTTTATTCATTAAAGAAAACCATGCGCATTTACAGAATTGTTTGTTAATTTACCACCGAAAGAAATGTCTAGCAGTGGCGCAATATTTTCAGCTAAAATTGTCTGATATCCAAAAATATAAAATGGTTTATTGCTATAGATGCACACAAGTAAAGATCGAAATACTAGTCAAGAATTTGACCTTTGACATAATCGGGGATTTCTAAACATTAATAAGGAAATTAGATTTCGGATAGGCTTAAAAATTATTGGAAGATATACTATTATTTCGTCAATCAACACTTGATAAAAATATCAGAGAGTAGTGTGGAAATATCAAGCCAATTGGTTGAGCCGTTTCGGAAAAGTATTCCAATGCCAAAAGTCAGTGTTTCTTTCTGAAGTACATACTATAAAGTGCTTTAGCGATTTTTAAGATGATGGAAATTATTCAAGATTTTTTCATTTTTATTCGATACAAATTATTCAAAAAGTCGAAAGAGTCGAAAACTCGTTGACGATGAACCACATACAAGACTGCCATCAACATCAACTGATCATCAATACGTCAATAAAATAAAATAAATGGAGGTTGAAACTCTACGATAAACACTCACAGATCGTACCGCCACCGTTCGAAAGTCGGAAGAATCAGTGAAAACAATGTTTAAAGATCATTTGGGCCAAAGAAAATGAAAGCACGATTTTTTCCAAAATAACACGTTCTTTCGAAAAGTAGCGTCGCGGTAACATCTGTGAAATAATAATTTCCGACTATCAGATTAATATAACGTATTCTCACTGGCAATGAGTCTTGTATCTACTCTTACGAATCTGTATATCTTGGCAAAGGTGAGCCGAGGCCGAAAAAACTATGTCAAAGCAGGTCAAAAATTAAGGTTGAAGGTTTTCTGGATAATCGAGGTGTGATGCACCCTGACTGACCCAACTGTCAACAGGAAGTACTATTTGAGTGTTATGCGTCGTTGGCGCGTTGCTGTTTATAAAACGAGGCCGGAATTATGGTCCGACAACTCTTGGTTTTTGTAACACGATAAAGCACCGTCACATGCTGCATTGATGCCATGTGATTTTTTCTCCAAATTCTCAACAAATATCGCGCCGCAACCATCTTGATGACTATTCCAAAAATTAACTATAACAACTATTTCGGGGATAGCAGAAAACACTGCAAGTGCAATGTGGCAAGCGCCAAGAATTTTATTTTGACAACATAGACACCACTCTTATTGAAAGGAACTAGGCTTTTTGCAAGCTTTTTTGTGGGGAGTTTTTCATTACCAAAATTATTGACCATGGACAGGAACAGATAGCAATCACTTGGTGAAAAGTTTGATCCTTAAATTGGATGCATAAGAAACTCTCATTCAGGCATCCGCAACTACTGGTCAATCACTGACTTTCCATGCGGCCTGATAGAATACAATTTCTTTTGTAATTTTCCAAACCTGACAGATTCTAAATGGTTGCCTCTTTCAGTCGGACTAAGTGCTACCCATGGTTTTTTGTCATTTCCACCGGAACAAATTGTAAAACTTTCCTGACCTTTTATCCGGGCTTGACTGTTTTTGCTTAACGTTACCATAAGTACCACATTCTTCAGTACCAGTAACTATCCGCTTGAGAAATGGATTGATTTTGTAGAAGGCGGTTCATCTGCGATTTGCAGATTGAAATTCGGTCAATGAAGCTTTTTCCGTTAACTCGTATGTCACCCACACAACAAACTTATTTTTATTTAAATCTAATTTAAATGGTATCAAGTGGTTTTCTACGCCAGTTTTAGCTCCTAGATGATGGAAATATGATGGTCACATTCGACAATTTCTAATATTTCATTAATTAGTCATCTGGTGCATCTTTGAAAATTTTCGACGAAACAAAAATTGTGCAATTTTAACAACTGCAGTGTCAGCTCCAAAAACATTGATTATCGCAGCATCGAAAATTGTAAAATATAACGTAATTTCTTTTGCTGGTGCTTATCTTCGACGTATATTCAAATAATACTGAATCTAGCAGTCATAAAACTGTCTCAGAAATATTTTTTAATACAAAATCGGAACTTTCTAATGGCATATTTTAACACGATCGCACTTACACTTATAGCGCAAAATGCATATTTGTAAAAACATCTATTAGTAAAATAATTATTTTTCGTTGCCAGAAGAAAAAATCGTGTTTTACTTTAAACTGAGTTGATAGCGTTAGTTTTTGAAAAACTCTAGATCCATTCTATTCTAGGTTTAGAATCAGCTTCTAAGAAACCTATTCTTAATAAAACCTCGTTCTCTTAATGACGCAATTTCAATTTAATCTATTCTCCTTCACTCTGTTTCTGATATAATTTGCTGACGACCATGTAAATTAAATAAATTATTCTGAAAATGTACAGATAAAGATCTCAATTGCATAAAAAGGAGATTAAAAATAAATTTTCAACAATAATACCTGCATGCTAATGCGATAAACAGCTACAGTAGACAATTCCCTCTCAATTTCATTAAAAATATGTAAATTTGTTGTAACTCTCTGCAAAAGGCTTTTGTACCGAAATTAGGGCACTCCATTCAATTTAATCCAACTGAGTAAGGCACCGAGTTAATTTGCCTTAATTCCATTTTGCTAATACATGCGTGTGCTATTTCACACACACATACTCGTACGCGCATACACACTTACCGCCAACAAAAGGTTGAAAACTGTATGCAAATGTGTTGTGACTACCCTCCTCTCCGCCATCAAGATAATATTCCACCCCCGCACTTTGTAAAGAAGGACTCATATATCATTTTGCTTACACTTACACACACACACACATACACCGGTACATCAGCCCTGCCACATCCTTTGACTGTCACAATGCAAAGGTAATGAATGAGATTACAACTTTTGAAATTAATTTTATTATCCTCGCCCATGTTATGCCATTAAATGTAACATAAAAACTCATTAGTGGGCTTAGAAGATTGCGCACCAGCGCATAACAAGTGGGTGTATCCACACACACACGCATGCATAAATACTGTTTCATAAATTAAATGCATTGCAGAGATGTGCGGAAATATTCGAATTATCTCTGTTGCATAGTAAGTTAAACACGAACTATTTCAATTCCCATTTTAATCATAAATTGTAGGCATTTCATACCTCCATATAATTACGTACGCACTCACCTCTCTCTATATCTCTCTCTCTATTTTTTTCAGCGCTGAGTGTTCAGTCGACTACTTCCATGCAAACTTCATCACGAGGACACCGACTAACGGACAAACTACAACGTAAGTGACAAAAACAGCAAAAACTATTTATTTAATTATATTTCATGCAATCTGAATTATACAGAAGCTTATAGCTATTTGCCCGTTTGCATTACGAAACCCCTTACATGGAACTATTGCAAAAGCAACAGCTTTTTTATAAACTGATTAAAAATTGTGGGTTAATATGATTAATACGGACAAATTTTAGTAATAATTAATTCAAAACGCTTTTAAAAAAATAAAGCGTTTTATAATTTCCTCATTTAATTAAAATAAATAGCCTTAGCGTTTTTTAACTGAAGTACATGGAAAAAACAAGAAGGAAAACAAGAAAAAGCGTCAACTCCGATTGTACCAAAGCGAAAATGCCCGTAACACGGCATTTTTTATAGCATTACGGAGAAGTCTTAATATTGATCTTTATATTGCAGATATATGCAATAGGTGCCCGATCCGAACAATTCCTACGGATATAAAATAACACTACTCAACAAATCTGAAGAAAAAATTTGCTACTGACGTTCTAAGCGTTCAGGGTTTAAAAAAATCAAATAAACAAAAAAAAATTTCTTTGACCAGGATTCAGGCCCGCATGACATTTCTGATAATTTTTAATAAAATAAAAATATTAAAATATATTATTTTCATCAAAAATTAAGAGGTTGATATTTTTGGTAGGAAAACAACCTGTTTTATATATTTTATTTTATAGAAGTAGTGAGTAAAAAAAGGTCCTCCACACAAGAAAGTACCTTGGCGGAGCACGCAGGTTTTGCGATTAAATAAGGACTGGCACACTCACGTTTTAGAAAATGTATTCAGTCGTTGTTGATGCGTTGATAGACAAAGTGGGTTAGGAGGAGTATAGAGCAGAATAAACAGTAACAAGGAAGCTGTACTGTGACATTCGACATGCAAAAAAAAAAAAAAAAAAAAAAAAAAAAAAAAAAAAAAAAAAAAAAAAAAAAAAAAAAAAAAAAAAAAAAAAAAAAAAGAAAACGAAACAAATTTTGAAGAAAGATAACTCATTTCACTTCAACAGAATGCAACTGAGGCGTTTTGGACAATGGAACAAAAATGTTCAACTAAGGTGACTCGACACAGCTCCATTGCAATATGTCGTCTTAATAAATATTGTTACAGCACTTTTGCTTGACTAACAATTTGACCAAGAAGATATAAGAAGGATGGATCGATAGTCCAAAGCTCTCAAAATTTTTACGTAACCGGTTTCCGAAAGCTAGAATATCATATAAATAATACAAAATACTTAGCTACCATTCGCTTTAAGTAGCAGCTTCATTAGAGCTGACTGCTCAGATGCTACCACAGACAGCCAAGCGAAAAGAAAAAATGCTAAAAGCATATCTCTGGTTTTGAAGCCATCAAATAATGAACCAAAACTCAACTTTTAAGGAAGAATTAAAGTAAACTTATACTTTTAGATAAAAGCCAACTAACTCGAACTCTTGTAGAAGTCATAATCTATTAATGAACTTTAAGATTTCTGCTGCAAAAACGTGCAAATAGAAAGACCAAATAATGGATATGCGCGCAGGAAAAGCTGTCACACTTACAGACATATACCTGGATAATTCCTTAAATTTTTTTAAATATATAAGTGAATATTGCTAACGCAATCAAAAAACTACTGAAAGCAAAATCAGGGACTTGTATTGATGTAGCAGATGGTTTTGGAATATAAACAAAATATTTTAATTCCCTCTTCTTCGCGGTTCCACTAGTTCAGRTTTTTACTATTTGCTACAATTAGTTAGATTAAATATATAAATATTAGAAATAGAAATGTAATAACTTTTTGGATACCAAAGATCAATCAAATTTCAATATTTACAAAACTTTCTATTATTTTRAATCAAATAATCTTCATTATTTATRCCGAACTAGAAAACTTGCAAYTATCATATTCAACGKGCTTTAAGCATCATAAACGCATACTCGCTTTTCATTTCCCTATAAAATATCCARCAAACTCAGTACAAATAGGAGCTAYAAACCCCAAATGACTGTKCACCACCTTGACCATTTATATGAATATAATTAAAGCCTTAACCTCACATTTCTAGTCGCTAAATCATAGCCGGCGCACACACCAAACCATATCTGCATGCCGACTACAACTATTTGAGGGGAAAAAATTCGTTTTCATAACAGTTCTCCTTTTGCTGCGCGCGCTCGTTTCACGCTTTTATGCTTCGCAGTGCATTTTACTGTTATTTGCTGGCTGCGGGCCATTAGATTGGCAGGGGCACAGAAAAAATTGCAACTAACGCTTGCATGGGTCCAGCTGACTTTGGGCGCTGTTGTCCGTTTTTTCTCGCCTCTTCCGTCCCTTTTCTCAGCATTTTACCACAATACACACACACAAGCACACGCGTGCTTATGCAAATGCCTGCGTTTTTTGTTTACCCCTTCGTCTGTGCACTTGTTTGTTTATATGCGCAATGTTGCTGCTGTTGTTGTTGCTTTTGTGCTTATTTTTATGGTCGCGCTTGTTTGCTTGTTTACTTACATCATTTCAACTCAGTCATTCGTTTCTCTTTTTAAACAGCGCCGCAACATGCCACGGCTTCTATTTACATGGAATTTGCGTGTGTGCACATGTGTCTGTCTGTCTGTCCAGGCGTGTAGCCATGTGTGTTTATGGCTCAATCTTTTTTCCGTTTCTCGCTATCTCCGCTGCAACATCTGTTGGTAAACATTTTCGTTACGGTATTTCTATTTGTTTTGCTCCGCTTGAGCGCAATGCTGCTATTTGACAAAACAAAAGCAAAACACTTGAATGCCAGCAAAGTGGAAAATAAAAATATATGTGGCGCATGCTTGGCTCGCGGTGTGCGGCCGCGCCGTAATTTCCACACAACTGCATATTTTTACAGATTTCTATCCGCTTAATTTATTTATTTGTGATGCTGTGATATTTTGTAATTGAGTTTCGCTTATCCGTTCGTGCTTTGAGCAAACATTTAACACTGTGTTTTGTTCAATATCCTAACGGTGTGTAGTGTAGAAATAGAAAAATGGAGCTACATCTTTCGTGCTTTCAAATTCGCGTRTACCATTTTGTAACTTCAAGCTTTATTTTGTTTCTGGAAATCTACGATTTCGCCAAATGGCTTCTAATTTCATTTCGCCGCCTTGACACTTCTATTTCGCACTTTTATTTTACACCCAACGCTGCCACCACAAACTCGCGGTATTTCAATGTCACTCATACGTCATGGCGCACCCTGCGGCTGTGCGCACAAATACACTAAATAGCGTGCCATATCATGCAAGTTAGTGAGCAGCATTTTTGTCCCTTTCTCATCGCATAATAACATCTTCAACTCGTTTTATTGTTTCTACTGTTATTTGAGTTTTTCTTTTTTTTCATACAAAGCAACTTTGTTTCGAAAGGAAGCCATAAAATTAAAAAAAAAAAACATTTTTTTATATTATATAATTTGAATACTGCTCTTATGCATCAGTTATATAATTTATTAAAGCATTAACAATTCCCCGTGTCCGGCCCTTTAATACGTTTAATGTGCTTATCTTCTAGATCACTACAATATCCAAATTCGCTCAACATGAATTCCTTAAGCTCCGCTATCGACACCTTTAAAACGGTACTATTGAAAACTTCTAAAAGTGCATTCAAAAAACAAATATGTATGACAGAGAAATAAAATTTTACATACGAGATGGTGTGATACAGTTTTATGGGAAGCGGTGTGATATTTTTACGATGGATATGACACCGGCCTACTTTCTGAGAAATTTCAGATCACGGGACCCTGCTGCCCGATTTCGACTAAATTTAGTACGTACATTCTTCCAACATTGTTATGTCACAATGTGAAAATGCGCGGAGTCGGACTAGAACCACTCCCACTCCCCACAAAGCACAATTGTAAGTTCCATTGATTCTTTCACTTTCCAGTACACAAATSAAGAAGTAAAKGCCAAAAATTGCCCAAGTYCGMCAAAAAATGTTTAAGCCCCTGGGGACCGAATATGAAGACYCTAGTTCTGTAGTTGATTTTTGACTAAAAATATCGGTCAATATATAGGATATATGTGTATCAAAAATACTACTCTGAATCCCCATATATCTAATATAAAGTTTTTGAACTTCCGTGTGACTTTATACTGCATATATCGGAAAATATTTGAGGCATCTGAATGAAAATATATAGAGCACGTAGCCCGTAATGAAACCAATCAATACGACCCCAACTCCCATATACTATTATACATATAATGCTTTCTTTTCCGTAAAAAACCTTATACCGTAAGTGTCTTGGTATGAAGCGTGTCAATGTATTGAAATACATAAAAATTTAGCTTTCTGTCAGATTACAGATAGAAACCTCCTTTTGGCTTGAACGTCACACTAATGTTCCTAAACTAAAGAAAAGATTCAGTTGAGAAAGATTTTTCTTAACTTTTAAATCCAAATAAAACTTTATCCTTCTTTAAAATTCCAATTAACCAATGGCCGAAATAAATCCGCATTTAATTTGCCAAAGAAAATATTTAATAATTATTACAAAATCACCAAAAAATTCCAGGTGCACTAAAAAATAATATGCATTCCACAGCGACCTTACAACAGCAATAACAACAAAAAGTTCGAAAAAAGTTCTTTGAGCAAATTAATTAAAATTGTTTGTGCTAATCCTTGCAAAGGAAAAAAGAAAATATGTAAGCAGAGATTTAAAACCGAACGCCGCAATAATTTCACGAACCAAGCAAAAAGCAACAACAAGAAAAAGTAGTAAAAAAGCAAATACCAAAACTTTGCGCTTTTTCGACATTTAAATAGATCCCATAATATTTTTGTATTGATGGTGCCATCAACGCATAGCCACCGAAACGCACTGAGTAATCGAATTCCATACATCATTCACAAATCATTTTCTCCGCCGCGATAAAGTCCACAGCAATGAACACACAACAGCGGTCGTGTATTGGCGCGATGAATAGACCTGACAGCGTTGGCAATCAGATAA